AAAATTTAAAATATATTTTTTCAAAAAACTTTTACTTTTTTTCCATTTTTATTCATATGACACACATAACAAGTTTAAGAGCTAATATTAAACATATTAAATTCTTATGTATTTCTGACATCTATTTGTAACATTATTATAACAAAAAGATATTGATAAGATCAGTATATTTTTGTACTTTTTTATCCAATAAATTTACTATTTTATATTTCTATTAAAAAATTAACTCAAACTATATTATAATTTGATTTTAATAACATTATTAATTTTTATTTTCATCTGTGTTCTTATCTAATTCCTCTAATTCTATGTTCCTATTAGTATTATTATCGGTGGACACGTTTTAAGAGAAAATTATAATTTAATGAAAAATAGATAATAATAATACATGTTCTGGAAACGTTTTTAATTCTATTTATTAATGTAAAATTTTATTAATACTCAATTAATTAGAAACTTTTACTAACTGAAAATCATCGCTCTAACAGCGCAAACATCATGAATATCATCAAATCAGAATTAACATATAAAATATTGCTTAATACAATACTGGTATTGCAACTTTCAATCGTCTATATATAAGCAAAACATCATTTTTTATAATATTTCAAAGTGAAATAAAATAAATATGCCGGATGTTATTGCTGAAATATATTGTAATATCGCTCTTTTGATTAAACAATTTCAAACATTGAACTTGCATATTGTTCTATAAAATTAAACGTAAATTGTACGAAAATCTCATCGTAAATTTTCCAACTATTTTTTTGACAACTATGTTCGAAAAATATTTTACTTCGTTAGCGAAATTCACATTGATCGTCTAGAATCATTTTAGCACGTTAGAAGAGATAAATTGTAGATAATCAAAGTCATAAAATTCTCCATTTGGATTAAATCATTGTTTAAATTCAATATTGTGGTATCGATAAATCTCAATAAACATATCGTTGTCAAAAATATTTTCATACGAGTGAAAATGAAATAACGAATAAAAAGAATTATTCGTTATTTTAGACAACTCTTGTCTCTTTCATTCGCTAGTCGATAATTTGCAATCGAGTTCCTTTATTATTTCTGAGAACAGCACTTTTATTGATTAAGTTTAAATGACATATCATTAAAATTCTCCAATCATTTCTTGAATTTTTTTACCTGGCGATACTATTATCTTTACTATTATTTTATTTTATAATACTAATAAAAGATTATTAAAATATTATTAATTACATTACTTATATCTTTACGGCGATTGGTTCAATTTTTATTTGCATGTTTAATCTATGAATGATAAGTATTTTTAAAACGCCTAATTATTTTTGTAAATAACGAGGAATACAAACATAGTGTAAGGCAATGAGCAAACAAGTAGACACGTATAAGTCTAAATCAAACGAAACAGTGACACTAGAAAATTAGCGAGGCAGAGAAACTGAAAATTTTCACATCTGATCAATCAAAACGATAAATAAGTAATTACATCGCGTTACTAAATGATAATGTAAAGTGTTTTCTAAAAATATAAAAATAATATTAAACCGATCAAACATAATAAAATTATGATTTATATTTTCTTTATATAGGTGTAAAAATAATCACAAACATATTTCGTTTGCTATTCTCTTAAGGAGTTAATATTATATTCAAATTTCAATTATTATTCATTGTATAAATAAGCAACGTATATCGTGATATTTTTAAAAAATGCTATTTGGTTTAAACTTTTATCGATCATTTTAGAGTTATTATACTTTCGTTTCGAAAATATTGTTTTTCGACAATAAAAACAATTAACAATAGGACGATATTGAAATTTATCGTTAAACACATCACTAAAAACTAATAAAACATAATTTCTATTTTTAGTAATAATAGATGTATGTCGAGTGCTCAAGTAGCGAATGTAATCCATCAATTTTTCTTTCTTTTATTGGCTTTGTTATTTTTCAATAAAATGTCATTATGAGAATAGATTTATTGCTTTCCGTGAAAAATGATCTTGTTCGCAATGTTTGAACACTTGTATTCAAACAAATAATTACGCCACGTTTTACACATTCCACTATTCTTTAATTGATGCGGATAAAATTAACACGACTGCAATTTTTTTCATAGTTTTTATATCCTTTTCTATCGTATCACTTTTCAACCACCACTACTTTTCACTACATCATCGAGTTCTTCGAATTAAAAAAATTCATGGCAAATTTTCATTAAACAATAATAATTTCTGATTTACTTTCATGGATTCACGCTTGCTCCGTTAACATGCAAAACACATAGTCGTTCAAGACCACGCGACGTCCTTGTAATTACAGTCATGTACACGATGTTCGCCACACGACGATAAGAATTTCAACCATTCTCTTGGAACAAGAAGTTCACCGTTAAAAAGGATTCGAATGAGAAAGAAAAGTGTAGCGGAACGTATCCGTCGTCGAAGCAATTGACACATTCCACGATAATCCACGAAAAGAATCCCTTGCTGGAACAATCGAGCATCCGTGGTGAGTCCGTTGTTTCTGCCAACACGCTTCTTTTGTTTCTGTGTAAAATGCATACCGATACACTTTTCATAAACATTTATTCATTATTGACGCGTTACGTTACGAGCGTAATTGTAGAGGCATAAGAGTTCAGGCCAAGTGTCATAATCACTTTTTTCGTTCGTGCAAATTTTTCTTATTTTAAGATTAAAAATTGATGCAGGTCAACGATGCAATCTTTTTGAGACTTCACATCTAATGATACAGATGAAATTAACACAGTGCGAAATGATACGAGATGAGATTTGGCGCAGTGTGAAATCACGTACTGCAAAATTATTATCTAAACGTGATATCATTTCAATTTTTTTCTTCTAAATCTCAATAATAATAATAATATGATACATATTATAATTAAATTAAATTAAAAATACAAAACCATGCACAAATTTTTTTTACAATGCAAATAATAGAATTCCTAACAATGAAAAATTGTATGATTATTTTATGTTAATTTTACGTGTTTAGAAATTTAAAATTTATTGAATAATATCATATATGCAAAATTCTAAGATTACTTCGTTGATCATATACAATATAATGGCAGCAACTTGTTGCTCGATTCATTCGTATCTATTATCAAATAAAACATAATTAATATAAAAAAATAACAAAAATTGCAATAATGTTTCCTACAATTTTAACGTTATTAATTATTTAAAAAAACGAAATAATAATGGACATAACGATATGAAATATGAAAAGACAGGATTTAAGAAATGTGTAGATCAAAGTATAAGATAAAGAATGTTAAATGAATCAATAGAGATGGAAAAATTCGATCGAGATTGTTAAAAATTTGTATACGAATCGATTGAAAAAAAGATTCGTTTGTTGTTGGGTTAATTAACGATAATCTTGCCGAACCCAGTATTCTATTTAGGGAAGGATTGACGCATGCGTCGCA